AACACAGCTCAAGAGTTTGATGGTAGTGACTCTGGAGCACAGCCTGATGAAGCAGTCTCATGGGGAAAGATAAAGGGTTCAGCTAAACCAGTAAAGGTATACGTTCTTTAATGAAGCTTCAGATGCTGTTTCTTATGTTTTACTACCTCCGGTCCATTTTATCTGGCGCACACGCATATCAAGATTCAAACTTTAAAAACTTTGACCAATAATTAGGCTAATAATTTTTAACTATTATAATACAAACTTTATATGGTTAGATTTGTAAGGAATTATACTATCCAGTGATTATAAGTTTATAAGCATAAATAATATAATATAAAGCAAATGAATGGTCAAAGTATAATCTAGGGGACCGTGTCATTCTAACTTGCGCCAGATAAAATGGACCGGAGGGAGTAGTGACTCTAGTTAAACTTATTTTGGTATAAACATCAGCTGCACACACAAACTCTTTCTATTGATTTGTCTTGCAACGAGGTATCAAAAGAATAAAATATACATATGAAGCTGTTCTTTTAATAATTTTCAAAACATCTTAACTTCCTTCTGTCACTCTGTGCAACTTTTGCGCTGACAGAATATTACCATCTTACTTTCTCTAATAATTCTTGGTTTATGAATGATTATCTGATTGTTTAATTGTGCCTTTTCTGTTAATAGAAGATACCAATTTGAAATCAGCATATTGGGAGAGCATAGTATGGTGCATGGGCCAGGCACTGGATGCTGTTATTACTAACAAACTAATCTGCTGTTTGAAAATTTGGAAAATGCAGGTGCACTGCGATGCGAGTATCGCTTTCCCGCTTGTTGTGGCTGCGACATTTGCACGCAAGGTTCACGGCTCCAAGTGAACAAACTGAATCTCCTTCATTGGAGTATGGATGGACATCCAAATTTTGCTGAACTCTCCAAATGACCTTTCTTGGAGCACGAGGATTACTTCACCTGCACTGCACAGGGATAATGCGCAAGCTTTCGGCGACTCACAGCCACATGCCAGCATTCTTCGATGTACACTCGATGTTGTACCAGCCTATTAGGTAGCATCTTTGTTACAATCAATAATTTATGGGAATAATAACGACATATACTTTGTTCATCCGAGTCGTCTGATAAATGCATGTCAAGTGAACGTGATTGACAAACGACCTGTTTTTATAAGCACAGTGATATTTTATTCACCTGAAAGCCATGTGTGTGCTCCTTTGTGTTGATGCATGGACGACATTCGGAGGTTGGGATCGTCTTAATGTCTGGGGAGTTTTGTATTCTTGCTTGCCGATAGCTGGGTGTCGAGCGGCGATAACTACCAGATAGCTAAAACTTTTGATTATAGGGTCAGGGAAGAAGATAAATAAAACATTATCATGAATTTAAAAAACATTGTATCATGATGGAATGTAAAGAGAAATAAATGCCGCTGCTTAAACTGCATTGAAATAGACTATTTCAATGCCTTTTCTATTTCAAATACTACAAAGCAAAAAAAAAAAATCTCTGATCACAGGGGGACTCAGCATTGAAATAAGAAGCTGTACCAGGATTCGGGCACGGAAAGCACACTGCTCTAACCGGTATGACTCATTAGGAGCTGGTAAACAGTACAAAACAAAGTTTTGAGAATCACGGCATATCTGTAGCATTACATCATGGCATCATGCTGCATTTTCGTTATTCATGATTTCCGAAGGCGATGAATAATTAGCAGCTACATTTATCGAAACTCTTAAAAAAAAAGCAGGTCTTCATACGAAAATGCCAATGGATACAAGTTCTAAGAATTAGTCTGGGCACTTCAAACTTGATGATGACAAGAATATCTGGCCACCTGGGAGGCATCAAGGAGCTTGGGACCTTAGGCGCCCCATATCCAGCCGTGTCTTGAAAGAGATTTGGACTTCATACTGAGCCCCAGGTATCCGCAGGCGTTTTAACCAGAATAACTTCTTCTGAAGCTCATGTGGTTTGGCGGTCTGTTCCACAAACTGTTTCTTGACATGCACCGAGAATTGTTCCCTGGACTTCTTATCAATATGAGGTGATCGCAACACTGTATACAAGGCTCGTGATTCAGGCAGTCCAATCTTCTTTGTGAATGGAATAAGCTCTGAGACCTGGTTGCTTTGGCTCATAAAAGACTTCATCACTACACGTATTTTTGCAGCCATGATGCTACAGCAAAGCACAACTTCTGTCACCGTTTCCAAATACCCTGACACCTGGAGATGGTAAAAATTAGCACTGTCATGTAACCATCAAGTAATATAGACAAAGAAAATCTGGAGGAATTTAGAAAATTAACCTTGCTATGACATGAGCAATAATCTTATGATGCTTTAGCATAATATTCATCACAAATAGGGTAGCAGAAACAGGGAAGGAAGCATATATACAGTGAGTACTTATAGTGAAAGGTTCAGCACATGGATGGCAGCATATCAACTAATGTGCAGTATGATGCTCAGCCACACCATGTCACAGATTTCCTGGACTGTGCCCACAGGGCTACTTGGCATATGTTTTGCAGCCACAATACTTAACTGACCCCATTTAAAAACTTTCTACCATAGAAAAAAAAGACAGTAAAAACAGAGAGTTTTTTTTTTTCCTAAAATGAAGTATCAGGCTCATGAAAGACAAATGGCAATCCATATATGCAAGGCGATAAGAGTAAGAAACGAGGGTACATAGCTTCAGTTGATATAGAGGTGATTGGCAATAAAGCTACAACAGAAGACTGTTTTTTTTAATGAAAGGGGATAAATGAACACACGAGGAAATAGAACATATTGACAGATAGAGATGAGTGAGTTGTTGCAATTATCAAAGAATTGAAGACATATGTCGGGCATCATCAATCTTAAAAAGGTTAACACCATGAAGTAAAGATCAGCAGCTCTGATTCCACAAAGAATTGCAACAGCATGGCTAGCACCCAACGATAAAAAATTTGCAGAGTAACATTCCATACAAGTTCATCCAACACATATTATTTGCCCCAAAGGGTTTTGAACAAGTCACAAGCACATCGATAATTTTTGCAAAGCAATCGAAGTTTGTAGGCATAATACATGCATATTATACACTTGTAATTGGATTCAGATCCGAATACGAATAGTAAGGTAGGGTTTGGGCGCATGGTTTCGCAGCAGAAGGGAAGACCAAGGGGGGCGTGCACTGTGTGGCGCTCCATCAAATGCGCCGGGCGAAGGGCGGCAACGACGGACGGCCCGGATCGTCTTCGCTGGTGCCCAAGACGCTGGGTAGTGGCCGAGTGGGGGTGATGGAAGAAGACCCACGGCCTGCAGGCTTTTTTGCAACGATAAGCGCATATCCGCAAATAATATTATTTACAAGGTTTTTTATTGATACCATTACAATTCTTCAACTTTTGAAAACTACCATTACTATTCACCTATTTGGAATCCTACCATTACAATTCAATAGAGACCGAGTCATGCCATTTTCTACACTAGTGAAGACGTTAGGCCCACTGCGATTACATTGTATTTTCATGATAGACGAAAATGCCCCCTCCCCTCTCTCATCTGGGACCCACCGATGTGTGGGCCCTATAGGTCGCCTCCTTCTTCAATCTCTAGCTAGTCGCATATCTCCTTCTTCAATCCATTCTCACCAATGGCGACGGCCCCCCACCCATGGTCTCGCTCACGGGGAGCTCACGCCATCATACCCCTCAAAAGAAGGGCAAGGCTCACCGGTAGGGGATGAGGAGGAGCTCATGAGAGAGAAGGTGTGGGCATCGAGGGTCGCCATGGTGGGCCGACCTCCTTCGATGATCGCCATGGTGAGCCGAGCTTGCCGCCTCGCCTGGATGATCTGGTTCTTGTAGGAGCACGACGACATGGGCGCTTGTAGGGGGATTCAAGAGGAGATCGAGGAGCTCGCCATATCGGCCTTAGTAGCCAAGCATCTCCGAAGGCCGATGGGTGCCCTTGGAGGCGGCAACGGCGCCAACAAGGAGGAGGCGGGCGAGCTGGAAGGAGTGCCACAACATCTCCAAAGATAGGCTCGCCTCCGTGAGCGGCCATCGCCTACAACCTCCTCGATCATCGTTGTCATTGACGGCAAGAAGAGAGAGACCGCGCCTCCCCCCACGCAGTGGCCACAGTGCCTCTATCTTCCACAAAGACCGGCCAAGACACCTCGCCTTCCCTTCAACTGCAAGCTTGTGGCGCCATTCCTCCCATCCAGCGTCGCCTCGTCCTTCCCTCGATTGTCTGGATTCAAGGCGGCGTGAAGTCGCTTTAGCCCACCTTTGGCTCATCAAAGACTTCAAGCGGTGGTCCCATGCCAAGGGTGGGGCCTACCTGGCGCTCAAGTCGCTTGAATAATCGCCTCAGTGCTTCTGACCTCTGCAGATTCGCCGAGCTGTGGCGAGATCGATCCGAGCCGCCCAAAGACGGACCGAAATGGACTCGGCACACAGCGTTTGTTGAAGCAAAGCATGACTAGTGGGGCCCGCACATAAGAGAGTGGATGGAGAGACTAGCAGCGGGTATTTTGGTCCATACGAAAATACGAAGGACTTTGGTCACCTGCGAGTGGGCCTAATACCGTCAAATACGTAGAAAATGGTACGATTCAAGGTGGAGAAGAATTATAATGGCAAGTTTCAAAATAGGTAAATAGTAATGGTATATCTTAGAAGTTCGAAAATTGTAATGGTAGGGATCCAAATAACCCTATTTACAAGGGGTCCAATGAAAATTACCTCAGATAAGTTGAATAAGATCCAAAACCCTAATCCGTCTCCCTCTTCTCGCACTCGCGCCTCTTTCCCATTCGCGCCGCCGCCGCCGCCGCTGCAAGCGCCAGCTCGCGGTCGCCCGAGCCAAACACTCCAACGCCGCCATGGGGCGTATGCACAGCCGCGGGTAACCCTCCCGCCCTCGTACTCGTAGCACTGGTGCTATTGCTTCTAGTCTGGTGAATCTGTGTGCTAATGGCGGCTGCGTGGCTCCGTGACGCAGGAAGGGTATCTCGTCGTCGGCGCTGCCGTACAAGAGGACGCCGCCGACCTGGCTCAAGACCGCCGCCTCCGACGTGAGAGCCTTCTCCTCTCCTTCGAGACCCCATTCCATTCGGGCGTCGTCTGCTTCCGTTGTTGTTGGGATGGGATTGCTGATTCGGTTGGCTGACGTGCGTGTGTTGTTGGTTCTCGTCTGGTAGGTGGAGGAGATGATCACTAAGGCGGCGAAGAAGGGTCAGATGCCGTCGCAGATCGGCGTCCTGCTACGTGACCAGCACGGTATCCCCCTTGTCAAGAGCGTCACCGGCAGCAAGATCCTCCGCATCCTCAAGGCACACGGTCAGAATTAGATCCTCTTTCGATTCGCTTGCTAGCAGTGGTGGAGCTTGAGGATAAATTTAGAGGGGGCCAACAGTATAATAATATACATGGTTTAGGGAGTGTGAGGGTGGCAAATTTAAAGCTTCATAAGCAAAATATACTAAGATAATGAAGCATCCTTTATAGAATTGCAAAATGAGGAGGGGCCATGGCCCACTATGGCCCTAATGAAGCTCCACCTCTGCTTGTTGGTATTTTGTGATTTGTGCTGTATTCATGTTTTCATGTGCTTGTGTAGGGCTGGCGCCAGAAATACCAGAGGACCTGTACTTCCTCATCAAGAAGGCGGTGGCGATAAGGAAGCACCTTGAGAGGAACAGGAAGGACAAAGACTCCAAATTCAGGCTCATTCTTGTTGAGAGCAGGATCCACCGCCTGGCCCGCTACTACAAGCGCACAAAGAAGCTTCCACCCACCTGGAAGTAGTAAGTCACTCGAACCCATGCATTGTAGTTTGTTGCTTGTTGGTACTAGCATGATTACTGAAGTATGTGGTATTAGCTAGCTTAGTTAACTTGGTAATTGTTGATCTGTTGTGCTTCAAGTAATTGTGAAGCAGCTAGAATTGGGTAGTCTTTGATAAAGAACACTCTTATTTGAAATGCATTCGTGAGCTATATTTCACGCGGTATTGTTCATATAGCTAGCTGTAGTATGTTCATCTGGTGCAATTTCGTAGAGCATGTAGATTCATTGGCATTTTAGGGTTCTATTTGGCAGAGATCTATCCCGAGCTCCATGAGTACGAGGACTTGCTATGTTGAGGATGTTTCGGTACACCATATTCCATTTTGGACTAAAAGTAGAGACTTAAACCACTTTCTTTTAGCCTGCATTCTCCATATCTGATGTGCAGCTGAAAACTGGAGGCTTGCCAAACAGGGTGCTAGTGTGCAGTGTGTTTGTCACCTTGAGATTACAATAGCAATCAGTGGCGAAGCTATGTTGATTGCTGTGGGTGCAGATGCACCCACCAGAAAATAAAAAAACCAATACTACAATCGAATTTTCACCATTGTTATGAAAATACCGATAGGAATGTTACGAAAATCTGACCCGTGTAACCAAATGAATTGTCATCAACATTTAGTTGTATTTAAGGCAGTAGACAGGTCAATTCCCCAGAGTTCTTGTGTTGTGTTCTTTTTTTTTTCCTGTTATGTGGCATGCTATTTGGATGGTCATACACTTCTACTTTGTAGCTGACAATTCTTGCTCTACTGCAGTGAGTCAACCACCGCAAGCACTCTGGTGGCCTAAGTGAGGAACTCAACATCAGGTGCTTGAAGCTGGGGCTATTCTTGGAATCAATTTTATGTACCGTTTTATGAGTTCGGATTGAACTAGAGATCGTGAATGTCCTGTGGAGGATGCCACAAACCCTTTTGGTTACATAGAACTGTCTGTTGTTAACTTTTGCTACTCGGCATCCAGATTTTTGTCAGCTATAATGATCATTTATATTACATGGTTTGCCCATACGTGCCTGCAGTCACCTTCGCCCTTGTTATTATATATTATGGCGTATGAGGTATTGACATGTAATGCTAGCGATGACAATATTGGTGATGAATTGCTGCTGCCTGAATAGTGTTGTTTTCCTTGGGCAAGGGCGAGGGCACGAGGCCATATATGATAAGTATATGTGATGTGATTTGTATCACCACAGCATTGCATCAGCTGGTTAGAACTAGAACCACATAATGACAAATATATGTGATGTCATTTGCCCGTTGTTTTGAGATATGGGAACCACACAATTATATGCGACTTGTTCTTTGGTCTGAGATTGTATCCTCGGGAGCAAAACCTGAACATGTGTTGTAAGATGGGGCTTCACGAGACTATTTTTCTTATCATGTGTTTGTGGCGCAATTTGTATAAAATCCGTTCATACTAGGGTGCACAAGGTACTGCCTATCGCTTGCGTGCTTAACACTTACTCTCCGCTGTTTTAAGGGTCTATTTGTTTTGCTTTGCCGGAAGCTGCAATAAACTTTTTAGCCTTGGGCTGTTGGGCACAAGGACTACCTGAATTTATGTGCCATGCTAGTTAATGAAAGGTGGTTAGAGGAAAAAAAAGCAATACCTGGAAGATATTAGAAGAAGCTAATGCATGTATTTGTGTTGTGATGCACGGGTAGTATTACTGTTTGGAAGATATAAGAGGCTAAAACATGTATTGTCAACCACAGAGAGTATTAAATACGGCTACAATATCAGTTTTCAGTTCGTCATAGAATTTCTCACACCACCATCCACGGTGGCGATGACAAAATTGCAGCAGTCGCACTAATTTATGCTACCATTTTTTCGTTGTTTTGCGATGAACCACTCAATTGCTTCGTACATACATAAGGGGTCATGTTTGTTAGCTGTGTAGCTTGTGCCTGGAGCATGAACTTAATCGGCCAATGAGGCGCAGACAAAAATGCATTTCTCAAGGGTAACCCTCAACGGCTCAGCGTGTCTGGCGCTCTACAATAGCTTCCTTTACTACGATATCCCGTCCGAAAAAGACCTGTTGCAGAAGCAAAGAAGTGATATAAGCCAAGGTGCCCGTAAACACAGGAGCAATATCATTGGGTGGGACAGCTTGAAGCACAAGAGCAGAGTACAATGCTAGGCTACAAGCAGCAGGTGATCAGATCAGGGAGTTAAATTTTTATCTAGAAGAATACTGGTAGGGCTGAAGTTTTCAGAACTGGGCCATCGTGTCAAATTTATGAATACAAGAATTTCAAAGGAATCGGTACAAGTCATCCAAAATCCATATTAAGTTCCCTCTATTATTCAGAAGAACACTAGGTATGCTATTAACAGAGGTAACCAGAATTGCAGATCAAATTCAAAAAGGAATATATAGCGACTATTTTGTAATACTGGAACAGCTCAAATAAGTCAATGAAACACAAAACTTGAGCCTTACCGTTCTGTGAAGCTTTAACGCTGCCTCAAGCTCTTCAGCGGAAGAAAATGAGAGGAACCCATAGACTCGGTTTCTGCCTCCTTTGCGATCTGTCAGCAGCCTTGTACTAACAACGGTTCCACACTGAGTAAAGAGTTCTCTCAAGTCTTGGGGCTGAACAGACCACGCAAGGTTGCCGACGTAAACCTTGTGTGGGCTCTCGAAGATGTGGTCCTTCATGGGTGTTATATGGGCCAGGTTCACATTTTTCCTATTGGAAATGACATCAGATGCTAGTTTAACAAAAACTTCACGCCCATCTAAGACCTACAAGAGAGAAACACATGACATCATGAGTTAAGAGACTAGAAAAGTATTGAAATATGCAGTAAAAGTTTCATCTGAATATGTGGTGTAATGTAAACGACTCACAAAGCCATCCAGAGCATTGATGGCTGTCCGAGCTTCTGCTAAAGAACGCATCGTAACAAAAGCAGTTCCTCGACTAATTCCAGTCTCGGCATCGCGTGAAATCTGCGAGGTGTAAACGACTTGAAGTGTTAGCATAAAAATACAGACCAAAAGCTCCTGGAAAAAGACTAGAAGGTATTGTATACAGCCCAAAGAGTTAACATCATCATTTGTACACAACACAAGCAAGCAGCCTCTACTCACAATGTACCTACTATACTAGTCCATCATAAAAAGAATCTGCACCATGTTCAGCCGACCATCCATCCAGTCAAACAATACCAGCTAATACAGTATCATCAGAAAGATGTCAAGAGCATGGTTCTATTGAAAATTCTGCTTGTTTTGTTCATCTAATGAGTTCATTTGGTTGATCAATGAAGAGAAATTGGCAAATGCAGCAGTGCTCATGCAATTAGTGCCCAGGCCTATCGTGTCAAGTACAACTGTACAAGTCGGTTCAGAACTATCAGCCTTGCTTATGCATTATTTGGCAAGGTACTGTACTTGCACAAGCATCTTCATGTAGTGTGTGGAAACCCCTTATTGATTGGTTCACAGTAAAAAATTGATAAGCGTAAGCTCAACTGGGGATGATTATCCTGCGGGGGTGCTGTAGCATAGCATACCTCGACGGAGAGGACGGTGCCGTGGGGCGTGAAGAGCTCGAGCAGGTCCTGGACGTCGCAGCGGCGCGGGAGGTTGCAAACGAACAGTTCCCGCGGGCGCGGCCACTGCCGCGCCCACCCGCTGAGGTCCTCGCCGGCGTCCGCGCCCAGGTCCTCCCCGCGCGCCGCGCCGTTGCCGCCCGCCCACTCCTGCTCATCCTCCGCCTCGTCACTGAAGCCCGCCTCCGCATCCGACCACCCACGCTCCTCCTCCTCCTCCTCCTCTTCCACGGTTTCAAAAAATGGTGGCGGTGGCGGTACGGAACTTGCCCTCGCCCTCGGACCGAGACGAGCCGACCCCAGCCCGGCGCTCGCGGCTCCGCGGGTGACGAGGGCGGGGAGAGGCGGCGGGAGCTGGCGGAAGTGCGGAGGTCTGGGGAGGTGGAGGACGGCGTTGCAATGATAGGCGGTGGTGGCTGTGGCCATGGTGATGGTGGATAGGGAGGAGCGGAGAGGGGGATTGGGGCGGGAGGTAGAAGAGGACAGGAGGCGGGACGGGCTGCGAGCTTTCGTGCCAGGGAGGAGACCAACGGCTGGATGCTGAGCCACGTGTGCATCCTGCCCAGCAGACGAACCGATGAACGTTCCAGAGCAAAGCCAAAAAATTGCGTTGCTAGAGCAACACAGAGCAAGTCAATCCCAATACTAGCCCTTGTTTAGTTCCGCCGGTTCGGCGCCGCCCGGATCACTGTAGCAACACTGTTGCTACAGTGTCGTTTTGTTTTTATTTGGTAACAATTGTCCAATTGTTGAATTAATTGCGCTTAAAACGTTAAATCTCGCAAAAGTACAACCAAACTGTCTGATTAGTTTTGATTTCGTCACCATTTAATACTCCATGCACGTATCATGAAATTTGATGTGATTTTAATCTTCTTTTTCAGATAAATGCCAAATTCTGATTTTTGGAGCAACTAAACAGGCCCCTAAAAGAAAAGGACAATTCATCAGTACTTGGAAGGAAGGCGGGGGGGAGCAAATCCTCAAAAACAACTACGGAGGAGGCACTTTCCAGCACAAAAAATTCGAATATCTGATACACATACATAGCAATCAGTATTCTCGCCGCATTTCAAACAGACTGACTGAACATCCAAGGATACCAGCATCTGTACTGCAAGTATATTGTATACCACCATGGTCCATGAATCCGTGATCTATATCACTATGTGCCCAAGTGTATGACATGGTTCTTCACAGGAAAATGGGCATTGGCTCTGTCGTCAGTCTGGTACAAACCCAAAGGGCCGGAGGACTGCCGGCACGAGATCAAGCAGAGTACGGCTCCGGGCAGCTGCGGCGGTGGCGGCAAGCTGAGCCTGAGCGGTCATCTCCTGCGCAACTTGGAGGCTGCGCCTTAGCTTTTCGTTCTCGTCCGTGAGCTGCAACGCGTAGTCAGAGTTAGAACATTGGCGTCCCGGCAGGCAGCCTGCTTATCACAAGGCGGTCATCTTGCCCGAGATTCGAGAACAGCAATAACTGACAGAATGGAGGTTTGGACGTTTTGACACTACCTCTTCCACGGTTTCTTTGAGCTCCTCCACAGCTTGCATCAGCAACGAGATCTCCTCGCTTGCAGTGTCGCGGCACGCCAAGTCGATGTCCGCGACGGAACTGGGATCGAAGATAATGCCTTCCTGCACGAACAGTTCCTCCAGCAAATCCACATCCTCCTCCTTCAGGCTCAACCTTAGCTGAACACAAGTTTGGTTCAGAGTAAGATGCTGACAAACGGGGAATATAGGATAAAATAAAATCAATCGCCTCGGGTTCATTGATACAGACCTTGCTCAGTATCCTTTCACGCAGATCATCTTGATCATGAGTCTCGATGGTGGGCTTCTTGGTGTTATCCACCGCCTCGGGAATCAATTTCGGAGAAGCCTTTATGAGCTTTGTCCTGAAAGGGTATTTATCATAGAGAGCAATGGATTATGGCAGCGCAGTACAGGTGTGAGACTGATTGACTGGCATGCCTGGTTCCAAAGCGAAGCGTAGACAGACTCTCTGGTGCATTCGATGGGCTGGGAGAACAGCAGCACAGCAATGCTGCTCTTGAGTTGCCACCCTGGAAGCAAGCATTAGCATTTAGACAAAGCCACATGATATTATTCATCCTGAATATACTTCAAGAAAAAAAAAACGTGCTGGAGAAACTTTAGACTAACCAGTGCATCTTGAAGAATGCGCGTAAGTTTTGAGTCACGGAAAGGAACATGATTCTGTTTACCTGGAGGTTAAAGAATATGACAGGTTAAACTAATCACAAACACATGTCAGGCTAACTTTTTATTGAGTTTGTTCCTTCCAAAAATTATCCTTTTCTGCTCACCAGTCGTTAAGGCATTGATGACATTTCCTAGAGCTGAGAGAGATTTGTTGATTGTCTTTGCCTCATCAAGAACCCGTCCTTCAGCACCAGTTTTCTCGACTTTCTCAGAACCAGCCAAGTCAACAAGTATAATCTTCCCTGATGTTACCCTGTAAGGGTAAGAGGCAATTATGAACTGCAGGCAGTAGCATAATTTTCTTCATAATTGCAGTAACATAAGACTAGGAAACTATGTTTGCTTTGCAATACCAGAGTCAACCATCTGAGAATAGAGAAATCTAGCAGTTGGACAGTACATCAACCTTCCAGTAAGAAAGGAGAATTGCATTTGCACAGGGCCATTGCATTTTAGCAAAGAATGGGGACTAGCTTAATACAGCCTTGATTAACAGCATATAAAATCTGAATATTGACGGCTATAAATGGCCTTAAAAATATCGGGATACAGGAATCAACTTGAACACTTATCCAATGTTGGCATGTTGCAAAGGTTGCCAATGGTCCGTGGGAACCATCCAACCATGATGCAGAAAACAACATGAACATCCGTTTTTGTCCCATTGATAAATGCACATAGAAACATGTAACTCTAATGTTTGGCGTACCTCTCATCTGAAGTGGATCCATATTGTACTGAGAAAATGTATAAGCAGTGACTTCTACTGCTAGCCAGGTTCATTTCTGTTTAAATTAAGGATGGCATACCGTATCAACTTTAGAATAACTGTTTCAGGACTCTAGTGACAAATAGAGGATACGTGTTTCCCCAACAGCTCTGTTGGCAATTCCTTGCTGTAATTTAGACAAGTCAACAAAGCTAAATTAGCATCTTCTTACAGAAAGGCACTCCAAGTAAAGCTCAAGAAGACTTACAGAAAGGTTCTCTAATGCATCTGAACTGTTCAGGATAGATATCTGCAGGTGTAATTGAACAGATACCAGATATCAAAGTGAAAGCATGGAGGTCCTGATGCCAAGTATTTCTTTCTCAATATCACAGAAAAATAGAATGGAAGGAAGGTGCCATGTTCTTCATTCTGACCTCTGTTGCTCCAGAAATGTAAATTCCTTGGGTTTTACTTTCCTTGATCTGCAAGTTGTCTTTGGACAAGTCAAGAAGGTCCCTGAGATAAGAACAGATAAAAGTTTATCCTCTCCATAGCAGCACTTCAAAAAACATTTATAAAGAGGAAGCATGAGAAATTCTCTACCAAATACTCACCTCACTTTTTCCAAATATATCTCCACCTGAGACATGGCAAATCAACTTATTTTACTATTCAGCAAACCTAACAACTTAAGGGGGAAAAAACGCAATGTGGATTCTAAATCAGCATGAGGCCGGTATGTTACCATTGACAGCTTCACTGTCCACGTGCTTGCTGATGATCCTAAACATACAAAAAGCTCATCCACAACTCGCTGTACTAGTCCAGTTTTCTGTTCATTGCAATGCAAGATACTTGGCCCCTATGTTACATTCCAAATTACAAAAATTGTGTAAGGTCAAGGCTGAAGTGACATGATCAGTAATTATCCCATAAATTAAAGCTCAAAGACATTTAATTTACCTCCATACTATAAGTCTTTCCCGCCCCAGTCTAGACACAAACAAATTTGAAATAAATATCAGTATGATTAAAAGTTGATCGCTAAGACATTGATGATATCATAGGAGCACTGCAAATTATGGCTGTACAGTAAATTAGAAAGTTGTAATACGACGAGCATTGCTTTGAGGAAAAAAAATAAGTGGATACACATATACATCCTGTGCAGTAAAACAAGTGCACAACTGGTCAATCAGGGTACAGTGTGTATGTGTATGAAGCAATATATACCTGACCATAAGTAATTATAGTCCCATTTATTCCATTGATAGCATCTGTTTCAAGAATATCGAAAAATGACTATTAGATAATCTAGTTATGGTAAGTGTGTAGTGATAAGAAACAACTTTGACTATCTTGAAGAACAAATCTAGAATGAAACAGAAAGAAACAAAACCTGAAACAATGGGCACTGCAAGGAAGTTGTAGACATCAGACTGTTGCGCGTCTTCATAGAACACCTTGTCAAAACTGAATATGACATCTTCTTCCCTCTCATCCTAATTCAAGAGTTTGCCAACACATTAGAAGCAGAAGTATTGAAATGTCACACCACACCAACAAGGTCACAGGGAAAATGATGATGAATGCAGCTAACACAGAACAAACAGAGCGTGTGTTTGATCCTCAATTCACTAGTTCCTGATTCCGCTCTTGCTCATAGTCCCTACTCCCTACAGCACAATTGTGTAGGGCGATGCTTAAACAGGTTAATGTTCAATAGTTCAGAAGGGCGTGGTCACACGAACTGTCAACCAATTCAGCAAATTGATTGATCTAGAAAGTTGTGGTGTGCAATACAGGAACAGAACACATGAACATCCACCATATGCATTTTATCAGAAAAAAGCTAAAGGGACCAGGAGACCGAAGAGGGTTCAGACCTTGAAAACAAAAGACTCCGAGTCCAGTTTCTTGAAGCAGACGTTGTCACCATTGGCCTTCCTCTCCTTGTGACTCAGCGGTCTGAACCGCACGCACACGGTCACATTAGACATCCTGCCAGTCGAGCAGTTGTTAAATTCTAGAACAGGTTCTGTTCCTCGAAACAATGCACAGGGTCACATCGGACATCATTGAAACAAAGCAAGGCCTTAAGCAGGGGCGGACCCAGTAATGGACATGGGTTAGTACGCATAATACTTGTATACACTTGCAATTAGATCAGATTCGAATTCAAATAGCCACATACTAGCTGAAGTTTAGGGTTCGCGTGTACGGTTTCGCACAGCAGGAAGGAAGAGAAGGGATGAGCATGCCTGGTGGGTGCTCGTAGCCGCAAATTTCCCGGCGAAGACCTGGGCACCTGGCGTAGGGCGGCGGCGGCGGCGGTCGCCCAGGTGGCGGCACGAGAGACGGCGCTCGCACTGGGGGAGAGCGGGAGAAAAAAGGACCAAGAAAAAAGGAGGGGTGAAACGCACGGGGGCGGCGTCCGTCGCTCGAGCTGGAATCAGATCGTGGAAGCCCTGTAATCAGTCCAAAACATCTGTTAAATTACAGCCCGTAATTTTTTTCCAGCCCACGATGAAACGAAACTTGCTGCTTGGATGACCGGTGAGCCTACTAAATTTACAGGTGTTTTGGGCTAAAACCGTCGGAAAAAAATAAACGTCCCTGGAGGCCCGAAAAGAAATACGACAGCTATCGGGCTCGCTCTCGCTCGAAGCCTCGCACGCTCGTCTCGGCGGTGGCGCAGCGAGCGCAACACTGAGCGGCGGCATCAGGGAGAGCGGCGGCGGCGACATCAGGGAGAGCGGTGGCATCAGGGAGAACGGGCTCGACGACCGCATCAGGGAGAGCGACGACGGCATCCGCGGCGATGAGGAGCGAATCTGGGGCGATGGTGTCCAAATCTACAGCAGCGACTGGGATGAGAAGCGCATCTGCGGCGATGGCGAGCACACCAGTTCCTCGATTCTCAACAGGTACCGTCCTCTCCTAATCCTCATCTCTGCTTCTTGCATTGGATGCTGGATGTGTGAAACCTATCTGAATGAGGAATGAATCTGGATGTGTTGCACATGCTTCTTTGCCTGCACTTGTTGATTATGTGTGAAACCTATCTGAATGAGGAGTGAAATGGCACGGTTGAAATTGAAACCAAATTGAAGTTGAATAATTCAGCTCTGTATGTTTCCCCAATACACGGTTGAATAATTGAGTCCAATTGATTTTGTTGTTTGAAGCGTGAATGGTAGGAATTATGATGGAGATGGATGTCTTCCTTGGGATCGGAAGAAAAGGAAAGACCAAAGATAGACTACTACTGGTGCTTATTGTAGTGATCCATTACTAGTGGATCATCAACGCCATAAATGGATGTAGCGGTTTGTATAATGTAACTGGTTGGTATATATGGCATATGAGTTTCCATACTGGATTCAGAAGCTATGCATTAGACATGTATCTTAGATATGCTCGGTAGATGATCTGTATACTGAAGCTGCTCCCATGGCATTGCTGTCGTACGTTAGATTTGTAGCTGCTGCATTAAGAACATGTGAACTCCCTCTTTGATCAAACATTGTCGACTTCGGCAGGTATCCACATGGATGCCGAGTATTTTGGTCCTGATAGAAGCATGCAGCTTCTCATGAGAAGAACAAATTAAAGCAACGTGTGTGCAAGCCATCTGCAGTGTGTGTGCATGACTGCATATACGTATATGCGATTGCAAGAGGTGGAAGGGAAAGGAACTGAGCTAGGAAGGTTGTGCATGACCTACTGTATGAAGGTAAAGCTACACACATTTTCATATTATCATATCATGAGAGAGATTTTTTAGGCTAACTTTGATGTCCTAATAGGACAACTTGCTGAAGGGAAGCTTTCAGACAATGATGATGATGAACAAGAGCAGCAGAGTGAAGATCGATAAGCTCAAGATCAGGGACAGCTGGACCAACCAAAGGAAGACCAAAGAGAAGAAATGATGAAAAGGTGGTGCCACGATCGAAGAAACCATGTCAGACTTCATGCATTTCAAAAGAGAGCAAGCTGCTGTGAAAGCACAAAACATAAGTCAAGGAAGAGTTTTCAATTACAAGATGCTTAGCCGTGTTAAAGGAAATGGCTGATGTGCCAGATGATATCAAGATTCTTGCATCTGAGGTTTGTAAGGATTCTATGAACCGAGAGATATTTCTTGGTTATGAGTCAAGACTCCGTGCTATGTGGTTGATGAAGGAAGTCAGCAAACTTGGAACTTAATGAACTGTAAGTAAGTGTACTGACTATTATTTATGTCTCTATAGTTTTTGGGCCTTAGGGCTGAAAACAAAATTAAAGTTCACATGTCAAATTCCTCATATGCTACTCTGAAATGATCAATATCTAGTAAACTAGGACCTGTGGTTTCTTGACCAGAGTACCCAGCTTTACTTATTGTATTAATCGACTTTGAGGTACACAATATACAATGAGATAACAAAGGCTACACCTCTAGATCATGTGGTTAATGTACTTTAATTTTGTATCCGTGAGATTATGCTTGCTGCTCCACCTCATTGTGTTCACCAGAGAGTCCAATTATATTTTCAGAAAGTGTTGCATTTTAATTTGTCCATATTTTCTAGAACCAGTAGACAAGCTCATTGCTTATATTTCTAAAAGCGCTTATTTCTTCTTTGTAATTTTAACAATGTTTCATGCTCAAATTTATAACTTTGTGCTGCAAGTTAGAGGCTGCAAATATGTGAAGATCTTGAAAGGTTATGGCCTAGTGTGAGTTCTGGAGAAGTTCTATTTGTGTTAATCTGATCGGTATTTATCTATGTTGTTCGTGTCTCTGCTAGTGCTTAAATTATGATGTTGGATGTATCTCGTCCTTTCTATGTGATCGCCGGAGGAGGTTTAATGCGAATGATTTTGTTTCTAGGATGATGTGTTAGTATCTATTGATATATTCTAGACCTTGATGGCTTGATGTGTTTATTCTAGACACTGATGACATACTCAAATTGCTGCATTGCTCTTCTTTTCCCAAGATGTGTTTGTTGGCTATATACTTGTATCTGAACTCTGAGGTTCAGTCTTGCAGCAGCTGTGAAACAGTGAACTGATATGAGAAGTGTCACTTGGTCTGAAGAAATGGGTGATGGCTTGTATAATCTTGTTTCTAAATTTGATCATCAGAATGGTGTGCCTAGTTACTGATGATAGGATCTTATATCGATCTTGTCCTTGTGGTTTATGTGATTGTGTATTTCCATATTTGTTAAATTTTTAAACTTGGTGAGATTTGCAATGTAATTTGCTGAGAAATTGCTATTTGTACCTTTGAGATACAAAGCACATCGGAGAAGCAAGCGACCGCTGATACAAGCTGGAAGCTAGCTGTTACCCAAACAAACGTTTTCCAAGTGTTAAGAAAATGCAGTTGTATTCTTGTGCACAGTAAATTACAGGCGGAAGTGATTTACATCTGAAAAACAATACGTTACTCCCAAACAGGGCCTAAGTGTCTAACGTTGCCTCCTGAACTTTCTTCTGCGGTTGCGACAAGCCAACAAATCTGACCACTCGTACCTATCTGACGGTGAGCAGAGTATATGCGTTGCCCTCCTCTCAACGCTGGGCTTTGGCCCAACGAGTGCACGGCCTGTTTCAGTAGAAAACAGCCGCGAGTTCCTTTTTTTTGGCGCGAGTAGTCGATGTTTTGGAGCTGTTCGTCTTGCTTTTTTTTGGCGTGAGTGCAGTCAGGCGGAGGTATCGTGCCGCTCGGCTTCGATGCGACGGTGATCGACATCTGCTGGTGTTGGTGCTGCTTGGTCTAACTAATTTGATTCTCGTGTCCTCTCATCTGATTGTGCTGAAATGATAGATTTAGGAAATCTGGGATAGAATCTGCATCAAAACAAAATCAACATGTTTAAGATGGAAGCTAGAAGGAAACAAAATCTGGGATTTACGATGGAAGAAAATAGGTATGTAATGCAACTATTGTTCCCTTTTGTCCATCCGATTAGATGTTCGATTCACCTTCACCACCAAATTAAATATTTATTTGAACAGCATAAATAATATCTTGTTCATCATTATTTGTTTATTATAGTGAGGGTTTGCTTCCTAGTCTATTACCTCAAGTTGGCATAGAGTTTGGTACTGTAGATGAGGCGGATGTTTTGGATTAGCTAGGGGTTAAAAAGGCTTCGAGGTTAGAAAAAAGGTACACAAACAAAAGAAAGTCAGATAGAAAGATTAGTTCCTGCAGATATGTTTGTGCAAATCAGAGTCACAGGTTGCCAGATAAAAGATGTAGCCTCTGAAGTTGCAATTACCAGCAATAACTTTTGTGCATTCCATCGGCAATAGTATTACAGAACAATTTATAATACAATGGTAAGCTTGCTCACACTTGCACAATGGCAATCTTTACAATTTCGTTGGCAATAGTCACAATTTACGTAGGTTGCTAGCACTTGCAGAATTTACAGTAATGGAAACTCAGTTTACAACATTACTAGGAACACAGTTTATCCCTAATCAGTGACCACAAGCGTGCCTGGCCTTGGACTCGCGTCGCCTGCAGCCCCGATGCCGATTGATGCGGTGGCGGGGAGGAACTGCCGAAGTCGTGAGGAGAGCCACCGATGAGATCGGCTACAGGACGACGACGATGCTCGATGGCGCGGAGGGGAGCGCCGGCGAGACAGAGAAGCAGCTGGCGCGCCATGCAACCAGATCGTGTAGAGAGTGGAGGGGAGTGCCTGCGAAGGGAAGAACTCGGTGACAGACTAGCGAGGACGGGAGTCTCAACGGATGCGAAGGCGTGACGGCGGCGGAGTCCGCATCGGCGGTAGAGACGCGACTCGCAGGGGACAGGGGAGTCCGCAACCGCAATGGCGACGGAGGGGCGACTCACGCAGGGGAACAGGTGAGTCGAGTGGCTGGGCTAAGATGGGCCGGCCTGCAGGCGTGTTAAATTGGTTAGGTTCATTACCTTTAGACTCTCACAGTTGGATCTAAAACGATCCCCTCAAAAAGAATGTTGGATCTAAAACGAACGGCTACGATGATCGTCGCTAACTAAATAGCAAGAGACGAGGATGGTCGATTTATGGGAGCCTTGGCGCTGGTCCTTTGGAAAATTGTCGACCCGAAGGTGGTGGAATCCATTGCATGCAGAGAAGGGATGGCTCTCGCTTCAGACCTACGAGCCGACAGTTTCAGCTTAGCCCACGACTGTCTTGAAGAGTATCAACAAGGTGATCTCATAATCTATGGACAGGTTATTCGGGAGATCAATGCGAGGAAATCAGCTTTAGAAGTATCGAGTTTGTACATGAGTATAGGGACTCAAATACCGATGCTCATAGGATGGCTCGTAGCTCGATCCATGCTTAGTTAGGGATGAAAGTAGGAACGGGAAATTCCCGTACCGACCGACACCGAATATCGGAATTCCCGACCGGATATCATTTTCTCAGGAAAAAACGGATTCGGGAAGAAATCCAGAAAATTTCGGCGAATCCGAAATCGATTAGAGTGATTTTCCGACCGAATTAGCGGATCCCGTATTTGTTCAGGAAAACTCCCACAGAAAATTCCTGTTTTTAAGGCCTCCCAAGTCTCAAGTCTGCAAACGGCCCAACCCACCCAGCCAAGACTCAACTACCCCGCCCAGTTGCCCACTGCCCCTTGGGTCTGCTTTTATAGCTCACATGCGCACCCACCGGTGATTCGCTTGGCAATGTGGGACTAAATGCACCAGCTGGCGGCTGACCTCTGTGCATCAGAAGAGAGGAGGCAAGGAGCTGACTGAGTCATGCATGCGGCCCATCATTCCATGCTTGGCCTAGGAATTCATGCATGGAGCAGCAAGGTTTGGCCCTTTGTTCATTTTTCTTTTCCATTTTCTTTTTTTTTTGTTAGTTCTGTAGCTTTCTTTGCATAAATATTCTGACGAGCTCACTGTTTGCTATTGTTTGCATATGGAATATGCATGGTTGCTATTGTTGCGTCGAGCTCACTGTTTCAAGTGGTTACATATATCGATGTTTCCGTTTTGTGTTACCGCTTCCCGATCGTAATCGACACGTTCCCGTTCGAAATATTCCGTTCTTGATATCCCGTAATACTGGATTCGTTTTCCTGTCCAGCCTTCGCGTTCCGGTTCCCGTTCCCAGCCAAAAAATACAGGAGCGAGAATGGTTAAGACATTTTCCCGATCGTTTTCATCCCTATGCTTAGTTAGGGCGGCATGTTTTGTTCTTAAATCCACCTAATGGTGTTCGTAATACCTATAATTCTTCTAGCTGAATAAAGAGGTGGTGTTGCTAAAAAAAACTAAAACGAGTGGGTGACGAATTCTGGTCTTTTCTTAATCTGACAGACCTCAACCATTTACTTGACACGTGGCATACACCAATCTTAAAGCAAGCTTAAAACCGTTTCTCCTCATAATTTTTTTTACAATTTGGTTCTTTTTCGAAGAAAATTTACATTTGGCCCTCTGAGATATTTAAACTCATCTTTGGACCCTTATGAATCGACGTCAGGACTTATGACGCCGAAGATAACACGTCTTCATGGCACAGATCTTGACGCCGAGGTCGAAGACCAGGTAATAACATGGCGTTGACGTGGCTCCGGCGTGACATAGCTCGGCACCGTGAAGCAGGACGCCGACCTCGGCTGTGCTGTAGCCGTCTGTCGCGCGCTGCAGCCCAGGCCTACAGAAGCATCTACTATCTCTGAAATAAACACCAGCCATGCATGCAGTGTCTGCCACACGTTTTCTGGTCAAAAGCTGCTAGGGCCATGCGCCCATGCCTCTGATGTCTCACTTCGTGCAGTGCGTCAAGCCATGCGCCCAGGCCTATGCTCTCTCTTTGTTCCTGTGCATGCAGTGTGGGAGCCGGAGCCGGAGCCGGTCACATCACATCACATCGCATCGAACATCCTTGAAACAAAGGAAAGCCTCAACGGCAGGCAGGGGCGGACCTGGGCAGTGTTTAGTTTTGGAATTTTGGGTTATCGTTTTTACTTGATAATTAGTGTTCAAATATGGATTAATTAGACTCGAAACGTTCGTCTTGTAATTTCCCACCAAACTATTTAATTAGTTTTTTTCGTCTACATTTAATACTCCATGCACGAGCCGCAAACATTCGATTTGATGGAACTAAAAATGAGCCTAGTAATGAACATGGGTTAGTACGCATGATACTTGTAAACACTTGTAATTAGATTCAATACTTATACACTTGTAATTAGATTCAATACCTAGTAATGGACACGGGTCAGATACCATTTCAAATAGACAAATAGCTTAAGTTTAGGGTTCGGGCGTTTGGTTTCGCGCAGCAGGAAGGAAGAGAAGGGATGAGCATGCCGGTGGGTGCTCGTCGCCGCGAAGTGCCCGACGAAGACCTGGGTACCTAGCGTAGGACGGCGGCGGCGGTGGCGGTCGCCCAGGTGTCGGCACGAGAGACGGCGCGCTCGCACGGAGATAGGGCAGAGAGGACCAGCGAATATCTTGCGGCCTGACCGGCCCGGCCCAGAGATGGATCCCACCCATTGCGGCCCATATCTCCGCTCCTTATTTATTTATGCATTCGTTGGAGATGGGGCTTCCACGAATCCCAACGCTCTTCTGCCGCCGCTGTTGCGAACCCCAACGCCCTCTGACGCCCCCTTTCAACACCGCCAACTCCTGAAGTTGCGGTAAACTTCAATCCTTGTCATATCCAGGAGATCATGACGGAATCGGACTCTGGTAAGGAGCGGGCGTGACATTTTGATTGTAAGTTCCTTTCTTTTAACTACCACATGGGAGTCGGTGTGCTGTTGCCATTTTATCTTGAAAACTATGTTTCAATCACGAGCTATCTTTATAAAGTGAGTTAATAGCTACTTTTGAAGTTAGGATTTGTAGCTATTGGTCGCAGCCCTTAGATCTGGAACTGGTCCTCGTTCTAAAACGCCATCTTTGGACTGAAACAGAGCTGACATCGTTTGCGCACCGTTGTGTTAGTGTTACCGTAGTCTCTAGTCAGCATACAGGGCCACGAGTATATTTTTCCTCGCCGGTGTGGTGCTGAGCCTCAAATCTTTGACGCCTTGATATGAGCATGAGGAAGTTTTCTTCCCTTCTAACTCTCAGTTTTTTTCCCCAATGGGGAGTCAAAAAGTAATTTTTGGCGGTTCCTTTTTCATATTTTGTATGCACCAGTCGCCAGAGTTTCTAATTGTTAAGATAAACTAGTAATTGTTAAGATAAACCAGTATGTGAAACTTTCTTGGCCGCTCATTTCACTTGTAGCACTTTTAGTTTGTTACACCATGTCTCCATATGTTGAGAAAATTTAATGTTTTCCGTTTTGGTGTGGAAAAAATTACTGACTACCCTTTTTTTTTCATATCCTTCATGATTATTGTTCATCAAGTCTAAGTAATTTGATTAAATAAATTTGTTTTCAGATAAAGAAACAACACAATTGAAAGTTTCTGTTGATTCTCCTCCAATAGACACTACATATACAAAGGAGGCCATGCAAACTTCTTGTCACGGAGATGATTGTAATGGTAGAGATGGATCAACCATTGATATAACAGAGAGTCCTTGGGATCCCTCTTGGCTTTTTATAGTTCACAAGAGCGTCGATTGGAAAAAGATGAGTAAGGTATGGTAGCTACCAATATGTATCATCTTCCTCTCGGCTTCTGTTTTCTTTCCTTTAGTACCTGCTCTTGACATTCTATCTTCCAGGTGTTGGAACAAAGATTTGCTTGGATGACCAAGCACTTTCCTAATGATATAATCGTCCCAGACCCTACTCCAAAGGTGCTTTTCTTCTAATTGTCATTTACATAATTCAGTTGGCAAATCATTCTGTTGTATCAATTATTTCTTTTTAATTCTGCTGCAATTTAGTTTACTGAATTGTCTCTGCCATGCTAGAACTAAATGTTTTGTTTTCATAAAGTGCTTGTCATTAAGGCTTTCTTTATTATGGAAATTAAACTGATTGCCTTCTTCTTTTTCAACTGTGAACGGATCAATCTAGTTTGTGCAAAATGCCTTCTGTGATATATCTCACAGCTTGGGGCTGATATTGGAAAAGGATAGTGTCTGGTGCTTCCTCCGCTTGTTCGCGAAATCTCATTGGGCCATGGCATGAAATTTGAGCATAACCTCTGATACCCTAACCTGTATGGTCAGCCATAATGCCCTGCGATGTGCAAAAGTTGTATTGCAGGGCAAGGCATATGGGGTCCATGGTCTGCATGCCAATCCCAACTGCATGAACCCGCAAGGATACTTTCCTATCCATGAAGCTGCTGAACGGTTCTCTGTTGATATGATCAAGTTGCTCTTTCGCCATGGTGCATCAGCCAACGTACGCACAGTTGGTGATGTCGTTGTTCAGGATCTACTCCCACTCCATGTTGCAATTGAGAATACTTGCATGCACAAGTATCTGGAGGACAATGTCTCTCCTGCGCAGTACAATCGGGATTATATCTGCAAGCTCATTCATCTGTTGTGCCTACCTGAGATGGTTTGTTTCAGTCCCTCTCTACGCAAAGCACTACTACTTTATCAGCATGAAAAAATAAAGTTGTTTTTACTGTGTTATAGTTTTAAACATGTTCCCACATATTCTTATTTCAAATTTAGGGACATGGATTCATAGAATTGTGTCTGCCAATATTTTATTTTGCATGGAGATTGGTCCTGGTCCATACTCCCTCCATTTCAAATTATAAGTCGTTCTTGCTTTTCTAGACACATAGCTTTTATTATGTATCTAGACATAGCCTATATCTAGGTGCATAGCAAAAACAATGTACCTAATTTGGAATGGAGGGAGCACTTAATATGATTAAACGAAAAAGGTGATGAAATAGGAAGTTATTCTGCGCTGCTTGCTTGCATGCAAATTCTGAAAGTTTTTTTTGTCCATTGGCCTTTTATTGTTTTCATTGGTGTCTCATGTTGGGTTTCATCTCTAGTTTACCTAGAAAAGCCAGAACGGCTTATAATTTGGAATGGAGAGAGTACTTCATATGATTAAACCAAAAAAAAAGTGATGAAATAGGAAGTTATTCCGTGCTGCTTGCTTGCATGCAAATTCTGAAAGGTTTTTGTTCCTTGGCCTTTTATTGGTGCACAAGATCTTTTTGTTGGTGTCTATGTTGGGTTTCATCTCTAGATTACCCTTACTTGCTTGAGGCTAAGGGCCTGTTTGGAATGCGTGAAAATTCTCGTGTTCCTGTGTTTTTCCTGTGAAATTGAACTGATTCCTATGAAATTCCTATGCGATTCCTGTGAAATTCCTGCGTTCCAAACAGGCCCTAAAAGGCGTTGTTGTTTTGCAGAAGGTTTTCCTGGATACGGTTAGGCTTCTTGCTGAAAAAACAGATAATCTAGTTGATGAGATCTGGAATTACATTACGGACAGAAAGCTTGTTCAGACTTCAATTTTACTACTGGCAGCCCAAAAGCATATTCGGAAGCATGATTGGTTTAATACTATCATGTATCGTATATTCAGAGACGCTTCTTTGCTAAGGTTTGAGAAAGGTGATAATGGTGAGGCACGGAAGCAGCTGGAAGTAACATTTCATCTTGTCAATATAATTTCCCATGCTGGTGAATCTCTTGATAAATATATCCAGGCACATTCAGAGGTGACACAACTTTCTGTATATGTCAGTTACAGTGACACTCTGGCCTTTCACTGCATTTATTCCTATATGCTTCCATTAGACCGTTATTCCATATCTAATGTGAACATGAATCATGCTACTGCCAGTAATTCTCTTGATTCTGTGGTGGTCACTGATCTGTATGACTTTGGTGTGCGTGGGTTTAACGTAGCCAGCACAAAATGATAGGTTTGTCTTGTTTCCTGCAGCTTCCATTTTGTCTTAAAACCATGACAAGATTAAGTTCCCTAGTGGCGTGGCTTCTCAAACTTTGCACAAAAGCTTATGACGTAATAACCCACACACTCTTTCAAAAGCTGGAGCACCTCTAGTGGTAGACGTCAACTAAGGATATCACAGGTGCTCTCATGCCTGTCTTGTTGGGTTTCAGTACTGATGAGTGTACGGTCTTCTGGTTGATTCGACACAGGTCTGAGTTAGCTGTTGGATTAAATGCAATTACTTGGGGCACCTTGTTTGACAAGTGAAACCCCGTGTAAATTTTCTCCCTAACCACCTCTCCTAATTCTATTATCTCGTTAGCTATGTGACATTACCATACAGTGAATATATATAAATATATAATTCAGTTTCAGAAAATATAGGCTGGATAAGATTGAGAATTTAGGTGCCTTTATAATTTATAATTTCTGTTGCACTGCCTATACTACAAAACCTTTTATAAAATGTAAACATATGCAATATGTTTTCCATTGCACCACCTATATAATTTCTGTTGTATGCCAGCACAACAAAACCTTCTATAAAGAGTAACTATGTAATTATCTTGAAATAAATATTCTGGTAACTGATTAGCAGATATCATTTAATGCAACTTTGTATATATTGTTCATTGATATTTGCATGCTACTTTTCCTTTTTGCACTTCTGTATTTTCTTGATGCACAGCACACAAAAATGGTAAAAAGGAATACTTGCGTGTTAATAATTGGTTCTTGGTGTTAGCTAATAAGCTCTGTTCTGTACATTAAGCTGATTGTTTGTTCCTGAGGATGTTTTGATTCAGTATAACACAACCATGACCCATGTTGTATGCAGTTGAAGACTTTGACCGTGCAGTCTATTCTTCTGTTACTCTGTTAGAAGGCCATGAACACTTCTGTCCATGTATTTTTATAAAGTTGATTACCATATTTTAAATTTAAATTTGAATAATACCGTTCAGTTTAAAACACACAAGTGTGATAGGAAATCCTGCCTTGTTTCTTTTCAAGTGTTTAATAATTGCAATCAATTGCTACAAAACCTGCATATATAAACTCACCTTCCACTTAAAGAAAACCGTGATTGCAGTTAGGTAAATTGGAATACATTAGCATACGTACTTTACAAAACATTACACTTGTGTATTCAATTCAATTCAAATTTTCCTGTATCTTTCGATTTCACATGTTACAATTGTCTCTTACACCATTCTTTCTTTCATCTCTTCTGTTTAATTATAGGATTGTCCTCCATGATGCATACTATCAATATATTACTTTTATGCTATAATTTCCTTTTCCCTTTTCCTCTGTCTGACGCAACATCTTAATTGACATTCAGGTGCCACATGCAGAGGCCCTTGAACATGTCTCATCTATACTTAAGGAATTTGGGTTTTGCCCTCGAGGAGACTGTATTGACGTTAGAAACCTGTACTGCTCTTTTTGCTTTGCTTAAATATAAAGATTTGTATGCAAAATTACAAATTCATGGTTAGTTTGCTGATCATTTAATCATTTCTTCAATTTGTTCTTGAAGCCGTCCTTATGACTGCAAGGTTTCTGTAAGGGGGTTACATGACAAAGGTACATAAGTTGATTATTCAGGTAGTTGTTTCTGAATATCTTAGAATAGAGCCCTGATTACTTTTTTTTTGTCATGGACTTCAGGGCACGTGGATGGAACCAAGGAGCCTATACAAAAATACCTTATCTGCATGCTGCAGAGAAGGTAAATATATAGTTTTACCACTTACCAAATGAGTTTGTATCTATGCTTTTTCTTAGTTTTGTACATGGTGGTAGCGCGTTGTATCATAGCATGCAGGGAGCAGCAGCATGACATTTGTTTCTTAGCTTCCAAGTTTTTTTAGGCTGTCATCGTACTTGAAAGTCATTTTTTTTGTCACTGGTCCCTTGTCTCTCTCGGGAAGTTGTGGCTTCTTGATCTTTTTTTACAGCAGGGTGATAGACCATGGTACTATGAACGTATCTGAAAGTATTTTAGAGATTATATCTTTTTTCCTGTAAATATTCTGTGGGATTTGATTTTCTCCAGCTGTGGGTGTGTATGCGATAACTTTGGTGTGCAATGGACTTGTTCGGTTGTTTTGATAACAGCTTAGGTGGGCATTAAAATGATGGAATCCAGGTTCATGGCTCGCCATTTGTGGGCCCGACCTTCTACCCTCCGTGCTCCAGCGTTGGGTGTCCGACGAGTAGGAGCGCAGCGCCGTGAAGCTGCGACGGTTGTAGACTATGATCAGCCGGAAGAAAGCCGACAATAATGGCCGTGGCGGGTCTTGGTCGTGGCCGGTGTACAGCGCGCACGCGTAGTCCCCCGGGTTGTCCGCGCCGGTGAGAGGCGGGAGCAAGGCCATGTCCCCCCTCGTGGGGTTGCAGACGCAGAGCGTCACCCCGTCTGTGTACCGTTCCTGCTGGAGCTCGAGCACGAGCCAGCCGTTGCGGACCGCGACGGGCCGGGCGTGCTCCAACAGCTCGCAGTCCAGGACGGGCACGGCATCGGCCAGCGCGGTCCAGGACGGGCACCGCAAGCCGCCGGTCAGCCTCGCCGCGGCGGCCGTCGGGACGAAGCAAGGCTGCGCGGCGTCGGAGGAGACCGGCCGCCGCCTGCGCGCCCTGGTGCCGCCGCTCCCCTGGTAGAAGAAGCCTAGGGTGAGGCCGGGCAGGGACGACGGCAGGCCGCCTGAGAGCACGGCGGCGTCCTTGGCCACGACGCGGGCCCAGCGCCGGCAGGTGCCGGCGGCGCGGACCACGTCGGCCGCGCTGGGGAGCCTGGCCAGGACGGGCGATAGAGCGTCGTCTGGGAGGGAGAGGGCCGTGCCGTCGTTGTCGCTGCCGCCGGAGCACCACGCCGGCAGCCAGCCTCTGCAGTAGGGCGCGGCACGGTGGGCCCCTCGACCATGGCGCGAGGGTGGCATCTTTCACACGATCAGATCTGATCTCGTGGGAATTATTGGCGATGGATCAGCTGAACGGAGCACAGATTTATAGCCGCCCGCACACACGTGCTTTTCCGTTTCCGATAAACATGAGGAGTCCGAGACTTCGAGTCCGAGCGTCGAATACTTCTAGCTGGGGGCCACGTTAGTAGGGTAGCTTTTTGGGCCTGCGTGCCATCTGTTGGGCTGACGGGCCGTGCATTTCCAGCATTGGTTGTTGGCCATGTGCTACGAAAAATACTTACTTGCATTGATTATATGGACAATTTTCATGCTGGAACGTAAAATGACATGAGTAGACTGTTCTGTTTTGTTATTTTTTGCATATATATGCATAGACTAAAATATATCTATATATGATGTGAAACTAACTCAAAAAATCTTATTTAGACATGTCCCATCTAGGAAAAATAATGGAAACACATTTTATCATAAAAATAAGTTGGTAACTGAATTGTGCTCATTTCACAATACTAGCACATTGTCCATGCGTTGCTACGGTCAAATATAAATGATGTTGTTTTCTTTGGAAACAAGAATGAAGCAAAGAAAATAAATAACCATCTTTTGCAGCATTTTGAAATCCAGTGTCTTTTATAGTGTCGAAAAACTTGCCAGCAAGTTGATATTCGACGAAGCTACAACGCTCAACCTAAGTCCTGAAAAATGCAACCTATCAACTCAGGTGCATTTTCACATGACTTCTCCATCCTTCGGCAAGAAGGAACTTCACCGACACCTTTGATGTCTGCACCAACACCGCCTGCATCGACACCTTCGCCACGAGGGTCTTCGCCAAACCTATAGAACCTATGCTAGCACCGCATTTGCCAAGCTCTTCGGCATGAGGGGCTTCGCCACCATCTTCGGTGACTTCACCAACATCGCCTCCGCCAAAATACCTTTGCAGGAGGGCCTTTGACAAACACCTTCGCAGGAGGACCTTAGCCAACACATTCGGCAAAACCATGATGACTCGCCTCCGGCCAACACGTCAGCACGAGAGGGGCTTCACCGACAATTTTGTCATCTACACCAAAATTACCTACGCAAAACACCTTTGCGGGAGGGTCTTTGGCAGGAGGGGCTTCACCATCATCTTTACCCGCTACAATGACTCAAGAGCCTTCGTCAACACCTTCGACATCAACGCCCACGATGACTTACCACCATCACCGAGCTCGAGGGACTACGTCAACTCCTTCGGCACCCAGGTCTACTACACCTTCGTCAACCACTTTTGACTTGAGGGGTTCATCGGCAACTTTGGTCCAAACATCTACTTCCACAACTACGACTATATCGACTACACCAAACGCGACTGAGGATTCGGTCACGAGCGTTGGCTAAGAGGGGCTAGGGGAGCATGGAGTCTTTTGCCCGGCGCTCGAGAGCGAAGATTCGGAGGCCTCGGAGCAACCTTCGGCCACAACTACTTTGACTACATAGACTACCCCAACCACGACAACTACATCCATTTTCGAAGACAAAGGCCTACGCATCGTGAAGACCTCAGAGATGAAGACTTGCGCACCGAGAAAATACCGAAAGCGGAGGCCTCAGAGATGAAGACCTACGAAGGCCTCAGAGATGAACCTCCGCACCGAGAAGATACCGAAGGTGAAGGCCTCGAAGACAACGACCCATGCATCGAGAAGGTCCTAGAGATGAAGACCTACACACCGAGCGAAGCCAATGAACCATGTTACAGAAGGAGCAGAAGGAGCCAAAGCCCAAAGATGAAGATGTCTGAAAGATTAAGGCACTTGGAGCTAGAAGCCTTAGGAATTGTAACATGTATAGGTTAGAGTCGTGCGTATGCTCTTTTCTCCATGCCATTTTTTCCACAGGGTTTTTGGAATGGAGTTTTTAGTGAGGCACGCACGTGCAGGTTGCAAAGGGCGATCCCTGCAACCAAGGTTTGAGTTGTATTGTGCCTCTTCTTGCATGCGCATCTACTAGGTCATGTAGTATCTGACCATAACCTAGTAGCTAAGGAGCTACTATTGGGGGAGCCCATGTTCATATGGGCCAACTCCTCCTTGAAGAGGCCTAATAGGGGTTGGTGTATTGTCTTATGAATTCCATCCCTACCAAGTGGTGATTGTAAAATATAGTTGCCTATATAATGCCAAGAGCATGAGGGCAAGGAGCTCTCCCGTCTCACTAATTTGGCAAATCCTAATCACCAATTCTCCTCTCTACCCTTAACCTGTTCGGAACGCAAATTTTCAACAATTTTTTATGTCCAGCGAACTCTTGTGAACAAATAAACAACATGAATAAATGATTATTGTCTACGAACATAAAGATTAAACATAGCGAACAAAATAATAGTATACTGCTAATAAGAAGATTGGACATCACGAACATTTGATTGTATAGGACGAACAAATAGAAAGCAAATTGATGTACAAAAGCGAACAAATTAGTTTATAAAATATAGATACACATGTGAACAAAAAGATAGAGACACTAATAAACACAAATTGGGCCAAAATCAGGAAAATGGCTAAAAGAAAACAAAAGGCTAGAGCGGGAAGTTGAGGGGTGGCGGAGGTCATCTCCTACCCAATTGGTCGGACGGTTCCTGTTATAAATAGCGCCATGCTCTACCCAATCTGCATGCACTTCTTCGTCCGCTTCTCTCCTTTCCTTCATCGTAGTTCTGTAGAAGAGGAGATCATGTGGGAGGCGGGGTATCGCGAGATGTGCTGCGGAAGGGGATCAGATGGAGGACGTTGTGCTGGCTTACCTCCTCTGCCTCGCCCTGCTAACGGTGTGGGTTGTAATGGTTATGATGGTGTGGGTTCTGTTTTGGACTCTCTTTGGTTAGATACAAATGGGTTGGTATCATAAATGGATTGGATTAGATTGGTTTATTGGAGAAAATAGTTTGGGATGGATCGGTGTGGCTTCTATTTGTTCATCGTGGGCTTGGCCTAGCCTACCACCGATGTCAATGACCGAGGAGAGATGGTAGTGACGGGAAGTCCTGACGGGACGCCACGGGGCTGCTCCTCGCAACGGCGCTGTCCACGTCGGCGAAGATAGGGCTCGCTGTGGCCGCCGTGGCGCTGTCGGATGTCAATGGGAGCGGGAGGCGCACAGCCACGGGCAGTAGGGCATACGCAGCAGGAGGCGCACAACCATGGTAGTTCAGTCATGGCGCTGTCTACGTGCAGCAGGGAGTAGCCAGGGGCAGCGGCGACCATGCTGCTCTATGCGGCGTTGCATGGGCGTTAGGCTCGATGCTCAACTCATCCTAGGTGTACGAGCATGCCGACAGCCTAGCACGGCTATTGCAATCTAGCGTGCAAATGTGCCTCAGCTCCTGAGTAGCCTGTTGTTCCTGGTTACTGTGTTGCTGAACCGCCGCCCCGTCGTCTCCGGCAGCGGCGGGAGCCACGACGAGCCAGCGCGACGTGGCTGTGCCTGATGGGGAGCCTGGAATAGTTCCTACCTATGTGAAAGCCCTAGTTTGGTTTTGGATAATTGATAAAACCCTAGGACTAACCTTTGATCTAAGTGTGTGAATGAGACAAGGTGGTCCAATCCAAGTGTGGAGCATGGTGGCACTCAAGTGATGGTGATGATCATATGAAATGATGAGTGCCACATGTGATGATGATCAAGTGCTCAACTTCAAAAAGAAGAAAGAGAAAAACAAAACCCTACGTAGATCAAGGCAAAGGTATAAGTAGGGATTTTGTTTCGGTGATCAAGACACTATAGAGAGTGTGATCACATTTAGGGTAGATGGTCGTACTATTAAGAGGGGATCTCTACTAGACAATTCTGTCATCTAGTGCCACTAGGTATTGGACTTTATGCATTGCATTTAGGCCTAATGCACTTCAGAGAGCAAGCAAAAATATTTATCGAAAATGTTTTGAGAAATGCTAACTTGGCTCTAACATGTTTTGAGAAAACACTTTGAGAGTTAGCATTGCTTGTGGAGAGTAGCTCGAGTTGCCCTGGATCGAATCACGATGAAGTTTGCAACTCGGAGAGCTAGTAGTGGTGCCTGGGTGGCACTGCCACCCCCTGTCCAGTGCACCGCCACCCCTATGGCGGTGCCCACCAGGACGTGGCTGAGAAGGGAAGCTTGGGCTAGGGCACTGCCCCTACCCGTGTTCACCGCCACTGGCATGGCGGTGCACCGCCGTAAGGTGTCCGGTGTCACCGCCCTATTAATCCCGAGGGTGACTAAGTTCGGTTTGAGCTCAGGGGGTCACCGCCATGGTCACGGCCCCCCTAGGGCAGTGCCACCACCATGCCATGTCCGGTGACTAATGGCTAGTTTCTAGCCATGGAATTCGACCATTGGGGAGGTCACCGCCCTGTCCGGTGACCTCGCAGACAGCAACTCCAAAGGGCCAGCGGCTCTATTTGCTTATGTGGCTATAAATAGAGGGTGTGGCCGGCCTTGGCCACTCTCTTGGCACCTCTTACACCTATACACACCCTTTGGGAGCTAAGCAAACACAATCCACTCACTTGCACACTTGATTTCATCATTTAAGTAAGATTGGTGAATCTCTAGTGCATTGCATTGAGTTGCATCATCTTGTGGCACTAGGTGGAAGCTTTGGGTTGGTTGTGATCTTGTTACTCTTGGTGTTTGCCAACACCTAGACGGCCCGGTAATTAGGGGATTGTTGAGCGGAGTTGGTGATTGTCTCCGGTCTCGTTCGGTTGCTTGTGAGGGGTTCTTGACCTTTCTTCAGCGGAAAGCCAAAAGGTACTCTATTGGATTGCCCGTGTCATTGAGCTACCTTACTTGTGGGTAGGTTCTTGCAGCGCCAAGTGTTGGCTAGGTGTGTGATACCTATTAGCCGCCGAACCACCAAGTGTTGGTTGACACAACGGGGACTAACGTGCCGGCAAACACATGAACCTCGGGAGAAAAATCATGTGTCATCTTGTGATTGGATTTCTCCCGGTGATTGATTGGCTTTCATATTGTGATTGGTTTA